ACTGTTGATAAGTGTCGGAAAATTTAAATTTGGCGCATTCGCATTTCCGGATATGTCCGCCATCAGAGGCCACTTTTTGGTCTCCTTTTCACACGGTTCGTCGTGTCCTTTTCATAGGATTAGATTCCTCTTTTGTCTTATTGCTCGATGATCTGGGCACAGAATAATAAACAATTGGGGGAATTTTTATAAGCTGAAATAGATGGAATATTTCCTACATAAATAAATAATATACATATCTGGTTTCTTCAGTAGATACCTTTGGCATCCAAAAAATGTACTTACTTATCTAAATATTTTACAAAAATATAGGCCTTTAGTTTTGAAATATATATCATTTTGTCATATAGACCACCGTCGTGTGGTGTGTGTTCACAGTGTGTGTTCCTAGTTCTCTGAGTAGAATTTCAAAGTTCTTTTGTCAGCCTTAATGTAGGCAACTCTTTATTGTCGAAACGACTGAAATTTAATTAACCTAAAACTAACCTCAAACATACTTTCATAATAATTTTAATTTAAAAGTTCAGTAAATGTTAAATACAAAATGAATTTATTGTTAAAGCAAATAAAGAATATTCGACTAGATCTTAGTTGTAACATAAAAAACTTTAGTGTATTTCCTACCCTAAGATTAAAAGAAAGTAAGTTTTCAATGTTGTAAATGTAAATGGATTTTTAATTATTTTTTTTAGTACAAGAAATTCAGAATGATAAAGAATTAATTATCTCTGCAAAACATGTACCTTCGGGAAGAGAACCTTATCTATTGAAAAATGATCACCCAACTGCATGCTCAGTTTGTGCTTCTGGTTTAGACATAAAGCATACAGATGTTTTAATTTTAAGTCAATTTGTAAGAACAGATGGGTGCATGCTACCAAAAAGAATTACAGGATTATGTACAAGATCACAGAAACGCATTGCAACATTGGTAGCTATGGCTCAAAAATCAGGTAATCAATATCAGCCATAAATTAAAAAGTATCCTTGTTTCAGAATATGTGTCACAAAGACTTGGTCTAACTTATTAACCTTTTTTCACTTTTTCCATTTATGTGATATTCCCACAAAATCTTTTAAATACATGGTTGGTTTGTTTGTTAAAAATATAACTTAGATAAGATAATTCTTTGACAGTGCCATAAATACCTAGAATAGGTCTTTTATTCTATGATCAAGTAATAAATGTAGCTCCGAAACAGATAATAATCGTACTTAAGTCTAGATTTTTTGGAATGAAACATATATTTATAGCAGAAACAAAGGATCTTTTAGCTTGCAATGTGGAAAGGTCTATAGACCAAATGACTCCTTTTAAATCTGCAATCATATATCTTACAACCGGGCTTTGGACCTCAGCTGAAATTTTGAGCATAAAAAAATCATTAAATAAACACAGCAACTGATTTAAAAGTTGTTCACAATCTATTAATTAATAAAAGTATTAAATTAAGTTTTAGCAATGGTTGTAACCTATTTGGCTCTAAGTTCATTAAGATTAGGTTCAAACAAGAAAAATAAATCACCTTGGAAATGTATGTATGTATAGGAGGAAGTATATGGACATTAAGTATTAGATAAGAAAATTTGAACATTAAAACTTGTTAAAAATGAGATATGATTGGTAAATAATATTACTAGTCATATACCACAAAATACCACAATTTTTTTTATTTTAAACACCTTTTTTATTTTTCTGTACACCAAGCTAGGGCTTGAAAGCACATCCACTTAACCATTCGACAGTAAAGCAAATGAGAGTTGGTCATTGTCTAATATAATGAACTAACTGAACAATTGACTCAAGCAACTAACTTCTACATTGCAAAATTTTATGATTAAGTACTGTGAATTTTACAAATGTTCATTAATACAGAGTTATTGGTTCATAGCATTATTCCCTTTTGTTAATTTCTTCCTGTTTTTTCAATTGTGAAATAAAATATGTACTTGTTTTATGTATAGAATAATAATTTTATTGTTTTGTTTTTCAGGATTAATGCCAAACTTAACACCAAGTTACAGCCATAAAGATCCCAAAAAAAGATACAGATGGAAAAGATATAATAAGTATTTTGATGAAAGTACCATTAAAATAAAATGAATGTTATGAATTAAGTTATTCATAAAATAAATAAATATATGTAAATATTATTTTTATTATTGCACCTCAATAGTGAAAATTACAGTTAAAAAAACTAAAAATTAAGGTGTATAAATAATAATACTCTACCACTTCTCCCCCACCACTGCTTTTTACTCTACTCTGCTGCTAGTGCTACGCTACTTTAACTTCACTATGAACCAGTGTTGAGGTCGCCTTTCTTTTTTTTTTGTTGATGGTGTAAATGTGTGTTGGATTCAGAATAAAAGAATACACTCAAGTGCATTTCCCCTCTTGAAAGTCATGCCCTCGGGTGCGTCCATGATGCCCTGCCTACCAACTAAAACCAGCCTCAGCTACACATGCGCGGCTAGTCTTGTTAAGACCGTCCTAACACGCATGCGCGACTTACTTCTCTTCTGTTTTTTCCCTTTAGCGTTTATATCAGCTATCATTCCTTTTCTAGGATCTCTTTTCTTTTTATTATTCTAGTTACTGCCCCCAGGATTTCTTTGTATTCATTTCTTCCTCTTCCGTTACGTTATTCGCCTTAACTTCTCCCACCCTTTTCATATAGCTCCGCTCTTTTGTTCATGAACCTTTTGCAATCAAACACAGTTTGACTGGCATTTGCCTGGGCGTTAACCCCGCAGATGCCGTCTTCTTTCTCCCCTATCCTTAGCAGGTAGGCTCTGAAAGAGCCGTGCCCTGTAGGGAACTGTGCGAAGAAGTAGTTAGTCTCCCTATGGCCATGTCTTACCCATTCTCTCATGTCCGTTATGAGTGTTCTTGTCCATTAGTCCTATGTTCGCTTTCCCACTCTTCTTGCCATGTCGCGGTGGTTACACCTCTCTCGTCTGCTTTGTCGTTTTCACTTATGCCGGACGTGATTGCTCTTTCCCTCACTAGTAGGTGAATTGGTGGCACTTCTTCTGTATTTTTGTTTATGCATTACCTGCTGCCGTAATGGTGCTGCATATAGTATGGTGGAGTGTACCATTTCCATAAGAATTCTCGTTCTGCCTGTCCCCGGTCCTCCTATGTTGGGCATGATCTTTGTTAGCGCCACTGTTCTTTGATCGGTTTTTTTCGCAGCATATACTATGTGTTCACCGAAGCTCTGTTTGGTGTCCAGTATTACGCCCAGATATTTGACTTTTTTGAGAGGTAGAATATTTTGCTTTTGGTAGGATATGCTTGTCTCGGTCTTGGACCAGTCGTTAGTTTTCTTTCCATTTTGTGTTTGCCCTATCCATTATGGGCCCATTCTCAAAGTACTCCACTAGTATGACCAGGTCGTCTGCGTAACAAATTGTCTGTATTCCCTCCCCTTTATCTCCAATATGTCATTATAGAGTACATTCCAGAGCAACGGATCTAGGATCGAGCCCGTTGGTACTCACGCAGACGTCTTCATTGTGTCATCTTAAGTTATATTACTCTCCTATCTGTAAAATATTCCCCTGCAGATATGGGGATTTTCCATTTCTTCTAATAGTTTTATGGTTTTCCCCCAGCTCAGGTTGTTGAATACATTCTTGATTTCCAGGAAGATTGCCACCATCCATCTACCCCTGGATGCTTCTTTCTCCCTTACTAACCTGTTTATGACATCTATGGCAAATATGCCTTTTCTGAACCCATACTGGCGGTCCGACAGGCCTCTCTTTTCTTCTATTTCTTTTTCGAGCCTTTACTTTATGAGGATTTCGAATAGCATGCCTAGTGTATTTAGCAAGCATATTGACCTAAAAGCACCCGGTCTTCCATTTCTTTCCCAGGTTTAGGGACGAGGACAAGGTTTCCGCTTTTCATACCATGCGGAATTCCTGTCTTCTGAGGAGGTCATCAATTATGGTTTTCATCAATTCAGCCTTTTCCCCTTTATAATGGTTTTTATTATTTCCGGCGCAACTTTGTCAGGGCCGGGTGCCTTCCCTTGCTTTAGTGCCTTTCCTACTTGCATTATCCCTTCCATTGTGAACCCTTTTGTTGATGCCTCTGTAGGTATTATTTGGAAGGTTTCCTCCACTATTTGGGAAAACGATGCTTCCGCTAGTTCTCTTTTGTGGCTGACCTCTATTTTATAGAAGGTGTTTCCTTTGAGTTATCTTGCTGCAATCTTATAGGTGTCCCCCCAGATGTTATTTTTTGTGCTTTCGCATAGTTCTTTTCATCACCTTCTCTTTTCGCCGTTTATTTCTCTGTAGTTCTTTAAGGCTTCTAATCTTTCAGCCTCCTCTTCTACTAGATTTTTTCTTCTTAAAACTTATGTGTTCATTGTTGAACACATAAGTAACACATAAGATATTGTTGAGGTAATCTAGCATAGAAAAATTTGTCTCGTGTAAGAATTTAGCGTGGTTTCTCTAAAAGTGAAGTGGTCTGAAACATAAATTAATAAATCAGTACATTTTTACGTTGAAAATGAATGGATATGGAATATATATTAAGTATTTAAAGAATACTTAAGTATTGCTGAATTAAAATAATAATTTTACTTTAAAATAAGTTTATTTTGATTTTGCGATTTCCACTTTTAAAATCGTTATCAAAATATAAAACATTTAAAATATGGTTAATCTTTACATGCAGTTTATTATCAAAATAAAACTGCATCCATTAGAACAAACATTTAAACGTAATAGATTACTATTTACAAATCGAAAGCTTTTAAACGGAATTGATGAAACTCCCATTATTCATGATTATTCAGCTATTAATAAGCCGATATAGGATAGGGCCCTAGGAATTTTTGTGTTGTATATTCCCAGCAGAGATATGTAAGAGAGCTCTCTTACATAGAGATATGTAGAGCTCTTCACTCTTACATATCTCTGATTCCCAGCAATGATTCTGTCAAAATTTTCCCAAGCTGAGTAAACCGAGTAATAGATGAACGACTGTTTTTCAATTTAGTGAGGTTAAGGTTAAGTTAAGTATAAATACGTCCATTCACCTCTCCCCTGAACATGAATCAAAACATTATTTTTGAATTTAGAAAATTATACAATAATTTTAGTCAAATTAGGAGAGGATATGCGAAACTAATTGATTTACACTTTCAGAAGCATCCTGAGTTATTAAATATAAAACAATACATTCCAGAAAAATATTTATCCATTTCCTCCAAAGTAGCCAATGAACACCTTTACCTAATATGTGTTAATACTGCAAAGATTATTGCAGATCATGTTATTCCTTTTGTAAAAGAAGATCAAATTGTAGCTGAAAGTAATGTTGGCCTAGGTCTGATAACAACCGAGTTGTTAGAAAAGGGAGTTAAAAGAGTTAGGATGTATGAAACATGCCCCGAATTTAGGGTAGACCTCAAGGTAAGATTTCCTTACCATTTACTTCATTAATGCTTAGAATATAATTCCGCTTTGGATATTATAATAATGAATGCATTTATAAGTTATATGCAATATTCTACTAAGTATTATCATTTGTGTTAAAAAGTAATTTTGAGTGAACCCCATCTTTTATTGCAGAAACTTTACTTTTAAAAACTAAAGTACTATTAAACCTGGATCAGTGTCTGTGGATACATTTTTATATAATCAGATTTCATTTGTTTTTTAGAGTTTTGATTCTGCATTTCCTGGAAGAGTGGAGTTGTTTACTAAAAATTTATTTCATCTAGGAAGGTTTTCTTTTTTGGATAAGCAAGATGGTATCAATAGAGTGGATATTCTACTTAAAGGAGTACCAAAGAAAGCTTGGACAGATGGTAAATATTTTAATAAACGTTTTTGCTACAGAAAAAGATTTAAATTAAGGTTCAGTTCATCTTTTTGCATTACATTGCATCAGTTTCAGGGCAAATAATGCATACTTAGCTTTTATAAACTCTTCAGGTTTACTGTTATTCCACGGTATTGATATAACACTTCATTACAATTTAATATTAAATATTCTAGCATTAAAAAACAATTTTAGAAGTATTAATAATAGTAGCTCACATATATTTGGATAATGATTTAAATAGGTATACAGTTAAGATCTCATTATGTGTTTTGTATAATTCTTTATTTTCTCCTTCAAGTCTGATTGCCTGTTTTTTCTTAATAAATTTGATAGTTATTTTGTATAAGTATTTCATCTCCTTTTTCATTTCTATAAATGTAAGCTTCTCATCCTGTAAGCTTCTTTCTTCTTCTCTTCTTCGTTTAGCCATTCACATCCACATCTGAACATAAGCCTCTTCAAGTCTTCCTTTCCATTGTTTTTTATTGTACGCTACTTGTAGCCAATTTTTCCCGGCAGTCCTTTTCAGATCATCTGTCCATCTCATAGGAGGTCTGCCTCTGGGTCTTTTGTGTTGGTATGGTCTCCAGGTTAAAATTGATCTGTGCCATTTGTTTAGATCGCTCCTAGCTACATGTCCAGCGTATTCAAATTTCAACTTTAATGATTTTTGCACCACATCAGTGACTTTGGTTTTCTGTCTTATCCATGTGTTTGTTTTCTTGTCCTTAAGTGATATACCTAGCATTGCTCTTTCCATCGCGTGTTGAGTGACTCTAAGTATATTCATATTCTTTTTTGTGATTGTCCATGTTTGTGCCGCATAAGTTAATATCGGAATAATGCATGCATCAAAAACTTTAGATCTAAGATGTAATTGAATTTGTTGATTTCTGAGTATATAGTTCAGTTTAATGAATGTTGCCCAAGCTAACTTTCTTCTTCTTTTTATTTCTTCAGTCTGAATTTCCCTATTTAGGATTATTTTTTGTCCCAAGTATATATATTCGTCAACTTTTTCTATAATTTTATCGTTTATTATTGTCACAGTGTCTTCGGAGTGCATGACTTTTGTTTTGTTTAAATTAATTTTCAGTCCTATTTTAGAAGATTTGGTATGTAGCTCTAAAAGCATGGTTTGCATTTCTTGTAGGTCAGTAGCTTTCAGGATTATGTCATCTGCAAATCATAGATTACTGAGGTAGCGGCCATTGATGTTTATTCCCATCTATTCTACAATTTTGCATTGCGTTTATTTCGGCCGTGTGTTCTATGGTCTCTAAAGCTTTTTCGTAGTCTACTAATTAAGGAAAACTGGAAACTTGTATTCGTTACACTTTTCTATTAATATTTTTGTGGTTAACAGGTGATCGGAAGTTGAATAGCCTTTTCTAAAACCTGCCTGTTCATATGGTTGGTATTCATCTAATTTCCTTGTTAGTCAAGTAGGTATGACTTTGGTGAGTATTTTTAAACAGGTGTGAAAGTAGGCTGATGGGTCTGTAGTTTTCCAATTTTCAACTATCACCTTCTTGTGTAATAAGATACTTTAGAGTTGTTCCAGCTCTTAGGGACTTTGCCCTGATGTAAACAACTTTCCACAAACTTAGTTACAATTGCAATTAGTTCCTTACCTCCTTCTAATATCATATCTGTGGTAATACTATCTTCTCCTGTAGCTTTATTTCTTTTCATGTTTTCCAATGCTGTAGTTACCTCTGAAATTGTTACTTTTGGCATTATTTCTGATCCAACATTTTTTATTAATTTCCGTGCTGGTCTCATCTTATCATCTTGTTGATGTGATCTGTAAAGTTCTGTGTAAAATCCTTCTATTCGTGTCAGTATGTTTTCTCTACTTGTGATTTCATTTCTTCTTCACAGCTACAGCTTCTTTCTATAAATTGTTAAAATGTTTTCTTTCCTATATTTGTCCCAATATTGTTTTACCTTTCATTATCATTTTCTTTGATTATAATATCAATTTTTGTTTTTGGTCTTTATCATTTTTTTCTTTATCAAGTGGTTTGCCCATTGATATAATATAATAAGAATGGAACCTATGGATAAATACTTGCAGCTAAAGTAGTTAGGAACAATGGTTGATCTTGTTTCTGGAATGTCAGTGGTGTATGAAAAAAATTCTTTTGGTATTATATTATGTACAATAATTACTTATTTTCGTTGTTATTTACATCTGAATAAACAATATAATGACATGTAACATTGTACAATTAAAAAAATATTTTTATGACATGAAAACATATAAAACTTATATGTTTTACAAGCACATGGTTGATTACATTTATATACATTTACCAAAATGAATACATTAAATTATTGACTTGAACACATACTTTGAACCTGCTTAACAATAAAATATCAGAAAATAATATAAAAAACACAGCTAGTAGTGTGACATCAGTACCAATCTCTATCATCAGCTACATGTAAAAATATCAATAGGCTTAATCCTTAATATATTATAACGATGGTTTGTCTGTTATCCATGGTTTAGGTTGTTTATCTTATAAGCAAATTTCCAAGCTTATTAACAGTTCGAAAACCAAATAATGTAAAAAGTCTATTAAAAACAAATCCAGATAATTTATTACATTAGATTTGTATGTTTTTAGATCCATCTATGACTGTGGTGGGAACAATGCCAAATTTAAATTTTTTGAAGTATTTAATTAAATCTTTAGCCCTACAAACAGGTCCTTCAGTGCACGGAAGGATGCAAATATTTGGCATTATAAGAGAATTTGATTATAAAGTAAGTAACTTAAATTGATTTTCTAAATATTGATATTTTTATTCTAAAATTAAATTTAAGTGGGTTAAAAATGTCTAATATATGTATTGTAAATAAGTTATATTTATTAAAGTTATTATAAACTACCTAGTTTTTGTACAATAAAGTAAAGGTTATTGCTGCTTATAATATCTTTACTAAATTCTGTGCAATGCTATCTCTCACTAACTTATAAATGAGTGTAGACTGTTAAAAGCACCTTGATCAATAGTGTAGTTAATATTAAAAAATTTACTAAAACTATTATTTTTTTTTGCAAGCAGACTGTATTTTAAAAAAATAATCAGTGTCTCTTGTTTGCACTTGAAAAGAAATATAAATTTTGTTTTCCATATAAGAATTTGATTTATTTTATTATTATAATATTATATTTAGGTATTCTGTTTATTATATCTACACACAATATATCCTAATCATTTATTAATTATAAATGGGCACATGCATTGTTTGAACACATGTTGAGAGTAATAATAAATTCTATCTAAAAATAAATAATAATCTATTCTCATGTGTCTGAAATTTACCTGTGGTCAGCCCTGTGTTGTCCAAATCACCCTCTAATACCCCTAAGTGGAGTAAGTGTCTTTTGTATCAAAAAATGACTGAAAACTAAAAACTAAAAAAAAACAAAAAGTTCAAAAAAAAATATGAAAAAAATTGAAAAATACTAAAATCATAAATTTTTCTTCATATTTTTTTTGTTTGAACTTTTTGTTTTTTCCTTTAATCGTTTTTAGTCATTTTTGATACAAAAGACACTTATTCCACATAGGGTATTACAGGGTGATTTGGACAACACAGGCCTGACCAGGTAAATTTCAGACACATGAGAATAGACGAACATTATACATTTATTATTATTCTCAAAATGTGCTCAAACAATGTATGTGCTCACTACTATGTCAACTATTCAATGACATAGTAGTGAGCTTTAAAGTGTCCTTCAGTAATATACTGTTTAAATGTTTGATGTATTCTTTAGTGTATGACTTTAAGGAATATTTCGAGTGTATGATTCATTAAACTGATGATTGTCCTATGATCTGGACATTCTTTTGAATTTAATTTTTTTAATGTAATGAAAATAGATGTTAGTCAATTCTTAATAATAATTTCTGTACTATATATTGTGTTATATAAGTCAATCAGTAGTCTTATTTGGTTTTCTTATATTCATTTTGGTATTTCTACTCGAAGATGATCAGGGCCTTCATCTTGTTTATTAACCTAATTAAATTTAGTATTTCTTTTGTTATGTCGGGACTGTATGTATTCTTGTTTTGGTACTAGCTCCGGTATTGCATATTTTTAATCTGTCCTTGCTGTGTTGAACTAATTTCTCATTCATATAATAATATGTTAACCTTTTTTGGTTTGTTCATACCGATAAGTTCCCTGATTTTTTCTTATTTTTTTCATTTTTACTACTAATTGTTCTATCTGTTCACATTTTTCCTTCCTCTTTATCTTATTTCAATGTGTATAGTGTGCTCTGCTTTTTTCCATGACTTACTTCTTTTCTTTCCTTTTTCGTTACTGTTTGCTTACTTTTAAAAGTTGTTTAACATGTATGTATGACTGACATCTTTTAGAATCTCTCATGTTTGTTTCAATCTTCAGTAGGATTAATTCCTATTTTAGATTTTTAGAGTTTTTTAAATTTTCGGGTGACCTGATATTTTGTGATGATAAATATTATTGTATATGATTATACTAGAGATTGATAATAGAGTGGTTTCTCCTTGCCTTCTCCATCATACTATAGGAGCCAGTAAAAAAAAACGCTACTCGGTATTTGGCACTAAAATCCCTACTTACTGATTTCAGAAATGTTTATCGAATTTCCACTCTAGGTGTCATAACTCTCACTTACTGTAGCCTACAGGTCGATGCAGCAAAAATATTTGATAACAATGCCGTATTTTGGTTATCAGTTGATAAATATTTGTAGATCTTAACAGCAACTCCTCAGGACAATTTGAGAATATACCAAGTAGCATCAATATTATTTCAACTAATGTTAGACGTTGAAAAACTGGAAACATTTTCTAGAAGAATATTTTTGCCTTGGGAAAGATGTCGTGGAAACAAAAAATTAAAGGTAAGTTAGTAATTTAGAGAACATAGCTTGTGTGCTTTGGGGGAAAAGAGTGGCTGATTTATATTTGTTTTAGAACATTTTATATCCATATGTTTTGGATTAAATATATATATATATATATATATATATATATATATATATATATATATATATATATATACAGTAGAACCTGCTTAATTCGAACTTCGTTAATTCGAAATCTTCTTTAATTCGAATTTTTATTCTGGTCCCTAGCATTTCCTATATAAGTAATGTTAAAAAGTCGTGGATAATTCGAATTATTTTGGATATTCGAACTTTTCTACAAGTTAAAAATGCCAATTTCATGCTGGAAATTTCCGCTAAAAGAGGTAGTATTCTTTTCTGTTCTAACGTGCCACTTGTTTCAAGGCCATTGTACATTGTACCCGTACCTGTCACCTAAATTCTAGCCCATCTGGCACGCCCCTTCAGTTGAGATGCGTTGGCGTTGCAATTGCAATCACCGCAAATCACGTCAAGTCACTTCGTATTGAGTAAAGATGTCGTCGCATGGTAATACGAAAACATACAAAACTTTAACGTTATCGGAAAAAATAGCAGCGATTAGAGAAGTAGAAAAGGGGACGAAGAAAAAACTGAGATTGCCAGGGACTTTGGAATTCCTCCTAACACATTATCCACCTACTTGAAGAATAAAGAAAAAATCTCAACAGTGAAAGTGAGTGCGGTAAAGATCGAAAAAGGTTAAGGGAGCCAGAAAATCCAAATTTAGACAGTTGTGTGTTAAAATGGTTCAAACAAGCTAGGGATAAGAAGATTCCCGTAAGTGGTCCCCTTATAAGAAGCGAAGCTGAACAATTTGCTATTGAAATGGGGAAAAACAATTTTAAGGCGAGTACAGGGTGGCTCGACGGCTTTAAAGAACGCAACAAAATTTCTTTCAAATCTATTTGTGGAGAAAGTGGGACCGTTAATCAGCAAGAAGCCAACCAGTGGAAAAAAAATTTGGAAGAGATGATTCAGGGTATAGATGAAAGAGATATCTTTAATGTTGACGAGACGGGTCTCTTTTTTAAATGCACTCCTGACAAAACGCTAGCATTTAAAAATGAAAAATGTCACGGAGAAAAACTAAGTAAAGAAAGAGTAACTCTCCTAATTGGTGCAAACATGGACGGATCAGAAAGACTACCTCTGATGATTGGCAAGTCTGCTAATCCGCGTTGTTTTAAGAACGTCAAGTCAAAACCAGTGGAATATGTGAGTAGCGCAAGAGCTTGGATGACTAGTGATCTTTTCGAGAACTGGCTGAAAAAATTAGACAAAAAGTTCATAAAAGAAAAAAGAAAAGTTATTTTGTTTATTGACAATTGTACGGCACACACCACTATCCCACTGATGGAAAATGTAAAAGTTATTTTTTTCCTGCTAACATGACTTCAGTTCTCCAGCCTATGGACCAGGTGTCATAAAAAATTTTAAACATTTTTACAGACGTTTTTTGGTTGAAAACATATTGATGGAAGATTGCGACACCCTTAAAATAAAGTTAGACATTCTACAAGCATCTCGAATGTGTAAGAAAGCTTGGGACCAAGTAACACCCGAAACGATCAAACACTGTTTCAAAAGAGCTGGTTTCATAAAAAAGGAGGAGAACACAGGCGACAATTTAACAGAAGAGCTGCTTTCAGTTGACTGCTGGGGGGACATCATTTCTGATCCTGCCATCTCTTATGAAGATTTTGTCAACGTGGATGAAGATGTTGCAGTATGTGGTGAAATAACCGATACAGAGATCATCGCTGAAGTGCTTAAGTACAATGATGAAAAACAAGAGAGTGATGAAGACGACGCATCATCAGTTGCGGAAGAAATACATGTTCCGAGTGCGGCCGAAGCAACACACCATATTACGCAACTTAAACGGTACTTTGAAAGTAAAAATGATGTAAGTCACTCTATTTTTAGTTCACTGAACATCTTAGAATCGTTTGCATTACTGAGACGTTAAATTCTAAAAAGCAGCTAAAAATTTTCGATTTCTTTAGAAAAAATTAGTCTATTTTCATTAATTGTAACAAATATGTATTCTTATTTTCAATAAATTTTTTGAGACAAAATGTTTTATTGTTTTATTGATGCGTTCTCACTGGGATTTTTTTATCTGCCGATTGTTTCGGCTAAGATTTGCGTCAAAAATACCAATGAGAAAACCTGCAAATGATAAAAATCGACAATAATTGACCATTTGTTATAGCTTGCAAATGCTTTAATTGTATTCTGGCCTAATTTTGTTGGCCCATTTCTTTCGGTTGACAAAATTCGGGCAAAAATAGTAACGAAAACATCTGCAAGCGATAAAAATGGTCAAATATTGTTGATTTTTATCATTTGTATATGTTTTTGTAGGCATCTTTGTTTTTTTGTGGATATATTTTTAATTCGAATTTTTGGATAATTCTGCAAACGATAAAATATTTCGATATCTCTGCAGAAAACATCTGCAAGTGATAAAAATGGTCAACTATTGTTTATTTTTATCGTTTGCAGATGTTTTTGCAGGCATCTTTGTTGTTTGTGGATATATTTTTAATTCGAATTTTTGGATAATTCGAATTTTTTTTAACGGTCGCTTGAGGTTCGAATTATCCAAGTTTCACTGTATATATATATATATATATATATATATATAATATATATATATATATATATATATATATATATATAATATATATATATAATAACCATATAATAACAATTTATAATATATTTTAGAATGAAGATATGGTACTGGTAAGAATGAATTTTAAGAAAGATCTGCCTGTTCCAATGGATAAAATTTTATATTTGTTCTTTTTCTTAAAACAGTTTTATGGTACAGGAAATAACAGGGTAATACCTACTGTTGAGTAAGTTGATTCAGTTTTGTATGATATAAGTAACTCGCAAATATGCACTAAAAAGAGATAATATACGCGTGCAGTATACATTTGAATATAGGCTAAATATGCAGGCATATGCAAAAATGAATTTATTAGGTTGCTTCTAAATCAACAATATTTTTACTGCACAATGTGGCTCCAATACTGGTAACGATGGCCCAGCCATTTATAACATTAAATGCAGCAGACAGCGCGGCAATCTATATCTCAGCAACAGTATGGATGGGTAACAATCCATGACAAAATCGTACTCGTCGCAGCGGCTGTGTTGTGTTAGAAGAGAATTTCAAGAAAAAAATGTATCAATCAAGAAATTAAGGAATTAACCAGCTTAATGTCACACTTATTAAAAACATTTTTAAAGATACATGCAAGAATATTCGCAGAAAGTGCGAAGCGGATATGAGTAATAGACAGTTCGGCTTTCGTAACGGGTTTGGAACAGTGGAAGCTCTGTATAGTTTCACAACTCTTACCCAAAAATGTCGAGACCACCAAAAAGATCTTTTCGTTACGTTTATAGACTATGAGACAGCTTTCGACAAAGTTAAACATAACATTCTCATGGAATGTTTAAAGAGAAAAGGACTCGACAAAAATGACATTAACATAGTGAGAAATCTCTATTGGAACCAACAGGCTGTGGTAACACTAAATGGAAATAGAATAGAATAGAAAAAAGCTTTATTCTCAGGATTCACAAGTTACATACAAATATAAATTGTCAATGGAGAGAATGGTGTCAGTTACAATTTATAATGGTTGCTGTAACAACCTACACTTAACATAAAAGTAATATTAAAACATAATGATAATAACAGTGACATTTAGATTCAGGTAAGAGCCCTTAGTCTGCCTACAGGTCAGCTTGAAGGTATTCTTCCACTTTGTATGGTTCAAGGTGTATGAGCAATTGTTGAACAGACTTTCTATATTTATTTACGTCAGTTTTCTATTTTGATGCTGTAAGGCAGTTTATTAAAGAATTTAATACAGGCATATTCTGTGGTTTTCTCAGATGCTGTTAGTCTATGTATTGGTATATTATAGTTTATGAGATTGTTTCGTGTATTAGTATTATGGTTTGTTATGTGTTTCAAGAATTTATGTCTATTTTTAAAAATGAAAAGTAAGCATTCATATATGTATGTTCCAGCTATTGTTAGTATGTTTAGCTTTTTGAAATTACCTCTACATGAATCTCTGTATCTCAAGTTAAGTAGAGTTCTGATTGCTCTTTTTTGAAATATAAAAATCTGTTCAGCGTTACCACTTCCCTCCCAGAAAACTATTCCAAATCGCATTACAGAATGAAAATTTGAAAAATATACAACTCGTTTACATTTTTCGTCCAAATAATTTGCTGTTATTCTGAAAGAGTAGCAGATAGATGCTAACCTGTTACAGATCTCATTTATATGCACTCCAAAATCTAAATTTTGGTCAATATGTACCCCCAGAAATTTTGTGCTTTGGTTTAGAGTAACCATTTGCGATTGAATTGAGACAGTTTCTGGTAAGGTACTATTATTTGTTTTAGTGACAAAACATATATAATTTGTTTTTTCTCTGTTCAGTATGAGTTTATTCATATTGAGCCATCTCTGTGCTTTATGCAATCTATTATTAGCGATATTCAATAAATTATTCAAGGATGACCCTATAGTTAAAATGTTAGTATCATCGGCAAATTTCACAATAAGAGTATTCTGATTGTTATCTGTTATGTCTAAAGCTAAATCATTTAGATAAAAAACAAAGAGAAGAGGACCCATAATACTTCCCTGAGGAATTCCCACCGAAATAAGACCTTCATCAGAGAAGCAATGTCTTCCCTCATACTCAAATTTTACTTTCTGTTTGATAGGTATGATTTTATCCAATTATAATCTGGCCCTCTAATACCATATCTGTAAAGCTTTTCCATTAGTATTTTGTGATTTAAAGTATCAAATGCTTTCGATAAATCTAAAAATGGATATATCTTTGTTTTCATAACCCTCATTTATCTTTGTTATAAAATCATAAATGGCAGTCTCTATAGATTTTCCCTTAAGGTACCCATGTTGTGCATGGCATAACAGTCCCTCACTATAGAAAAAACTGAGAAGCCTGACACACATGACTGTTTTAAAAACCTTAGAGAATGATGGTAAGAGGCTTATCGGACGATAATTTTCTAGTAAAGCGGTATCACCTTTTTTATGCACTGGTTTTACTACAGCTATTTTTAAGTTGTCTGGAAATATCCCATTTATGAAGGTATTGTTTATTATATGACATTATGGTATAGCTAGCTCATATGCACACAGTTTTATTATATTTGTAGGTATCCCATCATAACCTGAAGTGAATTTATTTTTCAATTTTCTAATTAATTCAATTATTTCATTTATAGTTACTGGCGTTAGAAAAAATGAGTTTTTGTTAAACTGTATTTTGGTGCTGAATTCTATTTTTGGTATATTTTCTAAAAGATGTGTAGCAGCATTTAAAAAATATTCATTAAAATTATTACTTACCATGACTGGATCTCCTAGTATAGCTACATTATTATCGATAGAATTTACCTGTGTGATTTCTTTAACGATTTTCCATAGACTTTTTGACTTATTTTGACTATTATATATTTCTTGCCCATACTGTATTTTTCGGGAATCCACAAGCATTTTATTATACTGACGTTTTGTTTGTTTGTACTCATCTTTGTAATTATCATCTACTCTACTTAACATTAGCAAAAGGTCTAAGCGACTTTTATATTGATTTATTTCATTTGTATTATAGTATTTGATACGTTTTTTATGTTTATTTATATTTTTTTCTGGAAAGCATTGGTCAAATAACAAAGAAATTATTTTCATAAATACAACCCATTGCTTTTCTATATCCCAATTTGGTACTGAAAAAAGCTTCTCCCAGTCTTCATCTTCCAGCATTTGCCTAAAATTGTCTTTACTGTGGGAATAAAAATTCTTTTCCTAATTTTTATATTTGCTTTTTTGTTTACATTAATACTGAAAGTTATTTTTGGACCAAGATGATCAGAAATATGAGTATCTAATACTTCTGCTACATAAAGTTCACAGTTTGTAAAAATGTTATCAATGCACGTCTTTGTAGCTCTACATATACGAGTATATTCAGAAACTGATGGCAATATATTAAATGTTTGTAATAAATAGAGAAATCTGTTCTATCTTTAGTTTGACTCCTCAAATCTATATTAAAATCACCTGCAATAAAAACTAGAGAGCTCTCATCTGAAATATACATTAAAACATTTTCTAGAATATCTAAAAATTCCTGCACACAAGACTTTGGAGTACGATATATACAAAGAATTAAAATTTTGCAATTTAAAAAACACACTTCTACACATGAACATTCAAAAACATATGTTTTTGCCTTAGCATTTATATCTTTTCTTATCCTCCACGATAAGCTTTCTTTTATATAGATTGCTGTGCCCCCATGTTCGCCTTCATCTCTACAGAAAGCAGAAACTAATTTGAAACCCATAAAGTTGTGATTTTGTAATTAGGTATTGGATTTCCAATGTTCACTTAAACAAACTGCGATGCACTCTTTGTGTTGTAAGATTTCTTCTTGGATAGTATCCATACAATTTCCCACTGATTGAGCATTTTGATGGATGATACTGCTCTTTATGACTGAGGATTCTCCTATATTGGTGGCATCCTTTTTTTCATGAAAAACCTCGAGACTACTGCTCCATTTGGCCAAGCCTCTCGTTTCCATGCTTCTCTACAATCATCTTGTCTGATGGTAACTTTTATTGAGGCATAATATTCCGGGTGGGATGATGAATGCTCTTCACACTTTACGCCTGGAAAATTTGGCTCCAAAAAGACCTTCAGTTGCTCAAAGCTGCAAATAGTCCGGATGTGCAACAGATAAGTAGAGGAGTGAGATAGGGCTGTGCAGTTTCACCATTACTATTTAATATATATTTCGAAGAGTTATTTACGCAATCACTTAAAAACTGTACAGAAGAGATCAAGATAAATGGTGAAAATATAAATAACATCCGTTATGCTGACGATACAGTCATTATCGCTGAAAGTGAGACAGACTTGCAGACGTTACTAAACACAATTTGTGATACTGGGGAACAGTTTGGTTTAACAATAATCATAAAGAAAACAAAAATCCTGGTATCAGTAAAAGGGGCAAAGTCATTACAAGGATCCAGATAAAAAATGAAGATATTGAGCAAGTGGACAAAATGAAATACTTAAGAGTCTGGATTACTGAAGATCTGAATCCGAAATCAGAAATCCGCTCAAGAGTAGAACAATCAAGCAATCTTTATGGTATCGAAGCCTGGACTGTTAATGTTGACTTAACGAGAAAACTGGAAGCTTTTAAGATGTGGCTTTTTAGGAGAATTTTGAAGATATTATTCGTACTGTGACGCCCTTGGGAGTTTAGTATTTTTTTGCGACGCCCCCTCAACCCAACCCCCAATAATACTTACCAATTTTAGTACTAGCCTAGTAACAGGTGATAGTTGTAACAAAAACACTATTTGAACATTTATATTTTTTATTAAAGTTCGAAATCAAACATGAAACACAAAAATGAAAAGGGATATTTATTTATGTAAGTGGCTGGTTAATATGTGAGGGATGTGCTTGCTTTTTGAGCGCAGGTTATGAAACAGGGACTCCAGTTTAGACATTACCACTCTCATTTCTTTTTCTAAATTTATGTTTACCCTGTACTTGTTTTTTATTACTGCAACTGCAGAAAAGGCGTTTCGCACAAGTACGAAGTCGCAAATGGTAGCAGACTTTCATTGCGGCAGTGCTGATGGCATGATATTCATGAGAAAGTAAGCTCCAAAATTCAAAAAGTTTGTCCTTGTCGTATTGAAAGCTTTAGGCTGGAATCATAGAACAATTCTGTCAGTTGTTCTTCTTCCTCTGTTGAATGGCGTGGATAATAGGAAAGGGTTTCTGACCCAGTCATATTGCTTCATATCTTCGGGAAAATATTTTTCGAAGTGTTCGCTCGCTGATAACATTTGTTGCGTAAACATATTTTTTAAAGAGGGCGCAAGCATTTCTATCGATTTTTCTTGTAGAATACCTTGTAAAGTAGGGAAATAGTTAATGTCTTGATCTTCTAATTTTTTCTTCCATAAGAGCAACTGAAACTCAGTAATTTTATCTGCCAATTGCAGGATATGAGTGAGTATTGGTACTCTGCGAAGATCATTAAATTTCTTAAATATCACAGGTGTATGCTAATTTTATTATAATCTCTAAATTAATAAAGTTTTGCGTATCATAGTGTGATTCCGCGTTTGGATAGCCAACGAAAGTTGCAATAATAAATTAAAGAGGTGTCCTCGGCCCTTATTACTTCACTCTATGGAAACTTTATGAAAAAACCTTGATTTGACGGGTCGTCTTTAATGTAGTTCACCACTTTAATAGTGCTATGCATCACAACACTTAATTCAGGTGGAACGTTCTTTGCTGCTAAGGTCTCTTTATGTATGACACAATCATTTTACACTTGAAGCCTTGGTTTTGATTTTCTATTCTTTTGAATATAAGTATCCATTGTTGATAGCAAAAAATCCGCGCCCGTAATAAAACAAAACAAAAGCTTAGTTAAATGACATAAAACGCGCGACAGTAGGGAACACGGGGGAGGGGAGCCGGCCGGATAATTTTCGAATTAAACAATTTTTGGAATAATTTTGGATAAATCAAGTGTTTATCGACTTTATGTTATATTTTTTATTCAATTTATTTATTAATACATATATTTTATACTTATTTAAAGTCAAATAAATATAGCTTCTGTATTAAAAGTCCGCGCTGACACTCGACGCCTGAAGGGCGTCGCGACGCACAGTTTGGGAAGCCCTGATATATACAACAGAGAGCCCGGAACTTAAACGTCGAAATATACGCCTGCTTCATAGACTATCGTAAAGCTTTTGAATGTGGAAACAGCGAAACCTAGCAGAAATATAGCGGATGTAGATGAGAGTGGCTTAAAATCATTACGAAAAAAAAAACATTGTGATTTCTTTTTTACTCTAAATTTACAAACAATTCTTATACAGAACGCGTCCAATTTTCTCCGCCAACTATTTTCTGAACGGTAGACGGCACAGTAGGCTAGCGCGGAGCTTCATACTGTGTTTTCTGAATTTTTAAAATTTAAATAATATTTTTAAAATTGAATAAAGTACTTAATTTTATTATTCATTTATTATTTATATTTTAAACAAATGTTATTGTATTAAAATAATTCAATAAACAAAGCGTACATTGTTTACTTCTGACAGACCTGTCAAATTCAAACTATATATTAAATTAATAATAAAATATAAATAAATATCATTTGATAGTAAATTTAATTATTATATAAACTAAATAAGATGTTTAAAAATAATAATTGTATTTATATGAAATTATTTTAAAACTAGAAGTGTCATAAAAATTTAAACAGATGATTCAATATTGGTATTAGGTGGATGACATTTGTGACTTTTAATTTTTTACTTCTCATTTAATGTTTGTATTTTGTTAGTTATTTTTCATTCAGTTTTAAATTTAAACCCGCTTGGAATAAATATATGATGACTAGAAATGTATTGAGTGGGAGTAGTTAATCGATGTGAAGATCCACTATTTCGTGACGCTACCCGTGACGCCTTTTCGTGGCAGTACTTCCGTGACGCTCGCTTCAGCATTTTACTATAAAGCAAAAAGAAATACAATGCCAGTATAGAAGCTTCGCTTCAATAATGTATGATTTGCCGTATGATCCCGTTTATAATTGTATAAGATTGTAAAATAATTACATAACAATAGTATCTAAAATAATAAACAGGTATTTTAGATTTAGTAATTTAAATTTTATGGTTCAGAAAATAGTTGGCGGGAGCTATCTTAAAAGTGAACTCTACATAAATTTCATAATTTGTACGTTTTAGAAAATGGGTTCCTAACAGTGGATTGAACGTTATACTTCCTACATTGAAGCATGATGAATATTATAAAGGTATTAGTATTTTCACAAGATTTAGGGACTTAACTCCACCACAAATATTAGCAGTATTTAAGTAAGTAATACGATCTTGTTTTTTGTCTATTTCTAATTAGGCTTGTAGTATCTTTATTAAATATGTCATAAACATTATATATACACAAGCTCAACAGGCCCTAGAGGGCAGTGGCTTGAAATTTTTCCACTGTTTTCCTCCATTTTTTTCTGTCCATGGCGGCAGAGCTCCAATTTGTTATCCTGATTGTTTGTAGGCCTTCCTTACACGCTTCTAGTAATTTTTTTCGTGGTTCGTCCTCTTCTCTTCTTTATTTCCCTTTTAGCAGCGAGTCCTTTGCCCACCTTCCATCTGCCATTTTCGCAAAGTGGCCTAACCATCTAAGTGTCTTTGTCACGACGATCCTGCTCATTTCTGGTTTCCAGTACGGCTCTCCGACCTCTGCATTTGTTCGTCTCCTCCAAAGGTCTTCAGAGTCTTTTACTCTCCCGAATATTTTTCTTATAACACTTCGTTCCCAGATGTTCAGCATATTTTCTTGATTTTTGTTCATAACCCATGTTTCATTTCCGTACAGGACCATGTTGGATCACTGTTCGATATAGTCTCATATTTTTCCTCACTGAAGATGTTTTTTGCGCTTAGTAGTGTAGAGCTTTGACCGTCTTCCTTCCTCTCGAAATCCGCTTCTCAATTTCTTTCTTTCCCTTTACTTATTAGGGTTACCCCTAGATACTCAAACTCTGTCACCTTTTTAAAGCAATACTATTTACTCGTAAGTGATACCTCGTTTAAAAACTATTGAAAATATCTATTTCAGCCATTCTAATTTTATTTGAATTTAAGCTCATTTTGATGAATAAATTAAATAAATACTAAGATTGTAGTTTCACATTTAATTAATAATTATTAAAACCTCCGCCTCTGGTTACTTGTCAAAAAGTTGATGTTTTTCAATTCTCTTTATTTTTACGACAAAGTCAACTTTTTTGATTAGCCAGATTAACCATAGGTTAACGTTAGAATATGTATTAATTAAATGCGAAACTACAATTATTTTAATATACCTATTCAATCATACTAATTTTGTTTGGATTTAAGATGATTTTGACGAATAAATTAAATAAATACTCAAATTCTAGTTTGGCATTTAGCTAATAACAATTCTAACGTCCCCTTTGGTTATTTGTCAAAAAAGTTGTCGTTTGTCAATTCTCTAGTTGTTTTTGTTTGCAAAAGCGTTTATAGCTCAATATTTAGTTTCTGTTTCTGCTTAGTTTATTGAATTCAAGCTTAGTCAAGTTGCTTTTAGTTGTTCTTAGTTTAATTATTATTTAACGAGACATTTAAATTTTTACAAAGTTAGAATGGTACGTACTGTAGCCGACAAAGTAGCAGCTGTGTTAATAATTGGTGAATGTGGAAATAATTTCCATGCAGCGGAACGTCTTTTTAATGAGAGGTACTCCGATCGTCCTACATCGAGAGCTTATTTAAGGAAGCTTCTTCGGAAGTTTAAACAAACAGGTAGTGTTCAAGATTTCAAATGATCTGCTCGAACAACAATTAGCGATGACAAAAAAATTGACACAATTTCAGAAATGGTAGTGAACCCTACTTCTACAGTCCGAGTTGCATATATCTATGAAATCAGTCAAAAGACAGTATTCCGAGTGTTGGCTGAAAACAAATTTTCACAAATTAAAAATTGTGCACAAACTTTTAGATGATGACCCCGACCGATGACTAGAATTCTGTGAAAATATGTCGAATAAAATTAACCAATGGCTCCATTACATAAAAACAATTTGTTTTTGTGAATGACACAAATCCTTTCGTGAAACACATACTCAATTTAAAAAAAAATAAATGTTTGGACAGGTATTTTTTGAAACCACATAGTTGGGCCTGTTTTTCTCAATACTAACTTAACTGGTGAAGTGTATCTGAAGATGTTACAAAATGCGATTGAACCGTTAATACTTGAAATTCTGGAAATAATCCAGATGAATTCGCAACTTGGAAATAACGTTTCAACAAGATGGTGCTCCTGCACACCATTATGATGCAGTAAGACGTTACCTAGATGAGCAATATCGTGGTAGATATGGATTGGACAACGAGGTACCATAGAATGGTCAGCTCGGTCACCGGAACTCATACCATTAAATTTTTTCTTGGGGATACTTGAAATCCAAAATTTAGCTACAGCATCCGACAATATTGACATTTTAAAACAACGAATTTTGAACACTTACTATAAGAACTGGTTGTTAAATATTTATTAATTAAATGAGAAGCTATAATTTTAGTATTTATTTAATCTATTCATCAAAATGTGCTTAAACTGAAACAAAATTATTATGACTGAATAGGTATTTTCAATACCTTTTAAACGAGGTATCACTTAAAATCTTAATTGAGAAAACCAATGAATACAACCTTCCGCTGTACTTAGCATTCGTAGATTATGAAAAGGCTTTCGACAGCATTGAACACTGGGCGGTTGAAGAAGCTCTGGTCAATAGTAGAATAGATTCAAGATACCGACAATTGATACATGATATTTACCAAAACGCAACCATGACCGTAATTCTGGACGACAAATTAATAACGGATAATATAAAAGTTAAACGAGGAGTCCGACAAGGCGATATAATTTCACCTAAACTGTTTACCTTGACCCTCGAAGACATAATAAAATCAACAGATTGGGAAAACAGAGGAATATGTATTAACGGGAAATACCTAAATCACCTTAGATATGCGGATGACATACTCCTGATCTCCTCGGAACGACAAGAACTGGAATTAATGCTGAATGAACTTCATGAAAAATCACTGCAAAAAGGCCTAAAAATTAACTTCAACAAAACAAAAGTAATGACCAACACGGAAGACCAAGAGGCAATAAAAATAAAAACAGAAAAAATAGAACAGGTAAATGAGTATATCTATCTAGGACAAGCAATCAGAGCTAATAGAGAAAATCAAACAGCCGAAATATCGAGACGAGTAAGAATGGGATGGGCAGCGTTCGGCAAACTTTCTTACGTTCTAAAAAATCAAACAATCCCTCTATACTTACGAAGCAAGGTATATAACTCCTGTATCATACCGGTGCTCACCTACGGAGCACAGACATGGACATTTACACAGGCCAATTTGGATAGGATAAGGAAGGCACAAAGAGCGATGGAGAGACAAATGTTGGGTGTATCACTTAGAGATAAAAAACGTAACCAGTGGATCAGAACCAGAACAAAGACAGTAGACGCGATAGAACAAGCAGCAAAACTGAAATGAAAATGGGCTGGACACAATGAACGTCTCCAAGACGGACGATGGAACAATGCCATCGGAAAGTGGCGTCCATACAATGCAAAGAGATCAAGAGGCAGACCACAGATGAGGTAGAAAGATGACATCAGGAAACAAGGAGGTCCCACATGGCAAAGAACAGCTCAAGATAGGGAAAGATGGAGAGAACTGGGGGAGACCTATATCCAACAATGGAAGGATAGAGAATAGGTTCAAAAAAAAATCACTTGCCATAAGGTCCCATTTAAAATTATCTGTCACAGTGGCGCTCCCTCCAAATTTCACTATTATAAGTATAACGGTTCAAAAGATACGGGGGGAACGAGCTTCTGACTAGCACTGTATAATATAAATATATATGTATATATAATATAAAAATATACACACAACCAAACTTATATGGAATCACCTAGTATTTCTTACTAATAATAAGAAATGTATGACAACTTTTTTTGCAGATAAGAGTTAAAGGTTTTTGTTGGAAATACGATTCATAATTGATAAAATTTGATCGAGTACACGTTGAAAAATTTTATGATTTGTGTCAAGTTGTAAAACTGAAACGTCAGAGTAAAGTTAAGTTTGTGTTCAAAAAAGGTAATATGCTACGTAGGTTTGTCAGATGTTCAGAGGGGAAGAATTGTTGCTCTTGTTGAGCAGGGAATGACACAAAATCAAATTTCAGATGATCAAACGCCAGACATAATGGGCTGAAGAGTGTGCGAGAGAGTTATCCAAACCTCCTCAAGTGGCTCCTTCAGTTTTATTTGTGTTTGGGTGAACGTCGTGTTTCATCCTTTAGAATAGCGTAGGTCCCAAAATCTAAGAGGCGGGTAAGTTTTTCTTCCTACTCGTCCAGCTATTCTATAAACCATCGAACGTGATGGCCCAAACACGCTCACAGAGTGTTCTTTCAAAAACATATGTAAGATTTTTAGAATTGGGTACACTCAAGAGACTACAGATATTGGCATTTCAGTTGAAACAGTACGAAAGAGACTTCGTTCAAAAAATTTATTTAGCAGGAGACAGTTGAGGGTTCCCGAGTTATCCAGACAGAACAAAATTGATCGGCTGAATTGGTGACTGGAACACCAGAACTGGACAAATGAAAATTGGAAAAATGTCTTTTTTCAGATGAAACCAGAATTGGCCTGAGATCAGATGACCGTCGAATGTTTTAAGAGGTCGATGCAGACAAGCTAGACTGCAAACTGCCAGATTCGTTCCAAAATATAAAGGAGAACTGTAATGTTTTGGGGCGGTATTATGATGGGAGAAAAAACACCTTTGCGTCTCTTAGGGCAAAGTTTAACGGGCCGCCGGTATGTCGATTTGGTACTAGAACCCATAGTTAGGCTGTTACGAGGTGCAGTGGGAAATATTTTCATTTTCATGCACGATAATGCCCCTCCACATACCAGCAGAGTTGCCACAGACTTTCTGGAAACTGAAGATGTCACTGTTTTGAGCTGGCCTGCCTGCTCACCTGATATTAATCCCATTGAGCATGTGTGGAACCTCATTAAAAGAAGGATTAGAGCTCGAAGGGATAATCCAGGTAATGCAGATAAGCTCATTCAAGCCGCTCTAGAAGAATGGGCAGACTTACCTTAAGAACAAGTTGACGATTTGATTAGAAGCATTCCCCGACGGATTGAAACTTGTATTAGAGCTAGAGGTGACAACACTGACTATTAAAGTGAACAACAAGACTGTATCTTTCTCTAGTCAACAATTGCAATGTTTTCATTTGTTCGTGTTTTTGCCTTTTTGTTAATTTCAAGTATTTGTAACATTTTTTGATTGTTTTTTTGGTAGTAATTAAAATGGTTTAGTATGAAATGTTTTATTCCATTAAAAAAAATTAGTAATACTTTACAAAATCGGAAATACTGGGTGATTCCATATATGTTTGGTTATGTGTATATACAACAAATATGTTCTTTTTAGGGAAGTCATCAATATTCCTTCTTTTGAAGGTAGTCCTTTTACAGCGATGGTTGAAAACGAACTGATAAAGAGTGAAACTGTGGAGACTAGTATAGCTGATGTTGCATTAGAAAAACAAATAGCAGGAGAGGTAGAGAAATTAAATTTGCAAGATGAATTTGATTGAACAAATTTTGGAAGAAAATTGATAAATGACGTTTCCAAACATGAAATGTTAGGTATAAAGGGACGTGTGACCAAAACAGAGTGATTCTGTATCAGACACAAACTTTGAGAATATTTTTAAATAAAAAGATAATTTTTATATTTTTCTTCAATACACATGTATATTTCAGATTTCATTAAATATATATTTACATATATTAAAAGTTTGTTTAAATTGTATCGATATCTAAAGATCTTCTACGTGGTGGGTATGAATGAGGAAGTTCCTGCTCAGTTGCAAAATTTTATTTGGAAATATTACTGCATCAAGAAATAGTGTTATATTAGATCTAATAATTTAAGAAACTAATTATTATTCATTGCTAATAAAATAAACAGTTCCTAGATATATAGATTCGGAAAAAAATTAAGTTAATGAGTTAAAAATGAATTTACACCCCAACATTAACGCTTGATAATCAATCGCTAGATATTGAAATTTTTGGAATGTTGTCAATGTGGATGATCACACCAATATTGGATATTTTTAGTATGATATCGAAAGAAATGAGTTTCGAATAATGCATAAACAAAATCATTTAATGACTAAAAGGATAAGGGAATGATTTTTGGTTAGGTATGATATAGTGTGTCCCAAAAAATTTTCTACAAAAGGCGAAAAAGTTCATCTTACATTTCACAAAAAAACTATTCTTGATAAAAAGCTCTGCATCACGTGTAGATCCATAATCAGGTCAAAAATTTTAAAACATTGTATAGAATAGAAGGAAAACATAACTAATGATTAAAATATAATATTATATTATATTTTATATATAATAAAATATATTATATTTTGGTATACCAAACCATAGATAATTATGATGATATTACAATACAATTAGAGACTTTAATAATTCATTATTATATACATTAGATGAAGAAAATTGTTAAATATATTTTTTTTGGGAAAAACCCTTTATCCGTTTAAATTAACAAACTTATGACTGATTCAAGGATTAAATTTAATTCCTATTGTCAAATGAGATTTAATGACATGGGATTAGAAAAAGGGTCGTCTAGTAACTTTTAGTACGGGTAAAACTGAATTAGTTCAAAGAATTATTGGTACGAAACAGTACTATAGTAATAATTCACCTTAATTGAATATTTCTTTCCATAAAACTAACATTATATATAATCTAACCTGAGTCATCTATAGATTCATCAGTAGTATCTTCGCCTGGATCCACAACAACTGGTTCAATAGTAATTTCAATGAAGTTATCAAGGTTCCACATATTCTGCTCTTCTTTCACTACATGATTGAAAGTAGCATTTTTCCTTGCTACTTTATTATTTGGGTCCACATAAGTTTTATCGGGTTTAATCACAATGGTATAGTGGCAATCGAACTACAAATGCATTTAAACCTCCTTTAACAAATCCCGAGAGTTCTCTGTCCCGAGTTGCTACCAATATATAAGGCTTGTCGTTTATTTTTCACATTTAAATCCTGCCAAATTTTTGTCATAGTATAACCCGACAAGCGAGAGCTGGCGGGTTGCACGTAGAACAAATTGAAAAGTGTTCACCGTTTAAGTCGTGTACATCGTATACATCGTGTATAACCGTTTAAGTACGTATACTATATACCTATAATCGCGATTAAGTACCTCTCCTATCTCTTCTAGAATAATTCCTTTTCTATTTTCGAGCAGGTCACCCGCCAGCTCTCGCTTGTCGGATTATATGTACTTCATTTAAATGGTTTTCATCTGTATGTTTTTTTTCTATCATTTCGAAATTCTGCTATTTGTTTCAGATACTTTGTGCACCATAAAATGATTTATTTTTCAATAAGGGTACTACTCTTCTTTCTCTTTAAATACCTAAAGTTCATTTCACGTAAAGCACGTTACAAAACATGTATTGATATTTTTGGAATAGGTATTTTCATTAGATTGAAGAGTCAATGTTTTTTTTATAGTACAATCCCTTTTTGAAATAAAATTCATGTACTGCATGACGAATGGCCCGTCCACGTGATTATATCATCCAATTTTTCCTTCCTCTTGCCTCAACCTCCAAAGTATTATAATGTTTTTATCTGTTTTAATTACTCTGTACCCATTAGCTTCGGAAACTTTTGTCAAAATACTACATAAAGTAACTACATCGTTTACATTCATATTTTGTTCCCTGCCCTTAAGTCCATTTCCAATCATAGTTTTTTCATCGGGTGTTAAAAATTGTGATGTTTATTTTTGATATATGGTTCACTATTACTACTGTCAGTAATATTTATTATTTGTCACCAAATTGAATTAAATTACTCACAATTAACACAAAGTAAACGTAAAAACTCATTTTCACTAATAATACTACAATTCTTTTCTCTGCTTTATGAAATTCCTGTCTGCGCTTATGAAACCGAATTACAGATAATAAAACAGCTACCCGAACAATTTAATTTTTGACAACGTTGTTGACTCTGACAAGGAACCAAATTTTTGCCAAAACATTTGAACAGTTTAAAACTAGACCAGTAAAATTATTGAAATTTATTTCATATAAAGATCTCTTCTATCTGAATGTATATTCTTTCAACAGTCAGTCAATGTTACTGGCCTATAGAAAATCATTAAAACATGAGGCACTTGCTACAGTTATGGTACTTTACGGGGCTCATGCTGCTGAATGAAATGCAGCTAGCAACATATATAGAGGAAGATCTGCATCGTGATCTATGGTCATAGGAAATAAAGAATATGACTGGTTATTCACTCTCGAAAGTAAAACAATATACACAAGGAAAATATTAATGGACAGCAATAGGACAGAATAGGAAAAAGTCACAAAATAAATAAAAATGCAATCTGAAAATGAAATAAAATATATTTGAGATAAAAACTAAAGATAATACATTTATGTTTCACCTTGTAGACAATAATTATACTTTCATATATTAATAATACAAAATATGTTTGTTTTAAAAAATGATTGCGTTACAAATGTATTATATGTAAAAATGAAAATATGTATATATTTACAATGCACATTTATATCTACAAGGCCCAAAAATTGTTCATCCAGTAGAACATGCTATTTCACAATGAGGCAAACTAGTTTTTAAAGTTTGTACAGTATCCTCTAATGATTTAACAGAAGTAAGGTCACATATATTTAATTTGGCCAATTTTTTTAAAACCCCTAAACTCAAAATTCCTTTCTCTGTTACATTTGGACAACAACTAACTTGTAATTTACATAAAGAATCTTTTAAATAATGCAACTGTTCTAAAGCTTTATCATCAACATAAGCACACTTGTGTAATTTTAACAACTCTATGTGTTTGCAACCATTAAAGTGTTCAAATCCAGAATGCATAATGCTTGTATTTGAAGCATCTACTTCTTTCACACGAAGAAGAGTACCTTCCAGAGGCAACTCATTATAGTCTGTTAAATAACCCTTAAAGCTAACAAATTTCACAGAGCCACCGTTTCTTAATATCCATTCCGCACATGTACGATCAGGTCCTAACTTTTTTTTACGTTCAACATCCAATGAGTTAAATTGTAAATTAATCCAGTAAAACAATGTTCTATTTTGATGTAAAGTTTTTGATGGCAAACAATTTAAAAATCTGTGAAAAGACAACATGATTATGAGAATGGATTAAACTAGCTGGTCTCATGTAAGTGTTTCACCTTTTGTCACCTGAAACAGAAATATACAGATAAATAAACATAAAATGTGTTACAGAAGAATACAAAGAAGGTGGTTTGATGTTTACAAGGTAATCAAGGGTATAAAAACAAACATGATAAACTTATGACTAAGCATCATGCCAAAAAGAAGACTATTATTTTTGAATTTGAGAAACACCTAACCTCCGAAGTAATGAGTCATTAGAAGAGGCAGTTGTGGACATTTAATCTTAGGGAGAGCGCCCGTCAAACTGGCATGGCATGTGGCAAGTAGAGCATGTCTAGCTTGTTGCTTAAAATGTAACCAATGAAAACAAATGATTCAGCGCACATCAAAATGACAGTGATGTCATTCATTCTAAGCATTCATTTGCATTGGTTATTTAAGTAACATGCTAGATGTGTGCTACTTGCCATGCCAGTTTGGTGGGCGCTCTTACTAACGGTTCAGAACTGTATCAATTCTCAAGCTCACTGCTGCTTTGTATGATACGAGTCTTTAGCAAAATGTGGTGGAAATGAAATTGGTTTTTGCCAGTATAAATATTTACAAAGGATTTAAATCCTAATATCTTACACTTAATAATAGTTTTAGACTGATTATCAGAAAAAAACCCTGTCATAAGAGTAGCTTGTTCAACTGATTTACAATACTCAGTGAATTTAAAAATTATTATTGACCACAAGTAGACCATACAAATATAAAGTGTGTTGCAGATCAGAGTCTAATAGAAAAAAAAAAAAAAAAAATCAACAATTTAGTAGCTAAATAAGGTTTGTTCGTAGTAGCGATTACAAACGGTTTGTGATTTGAAATACAGTGCGCATGTTCAGTTGGAAACTGTTTGGAATTAGTTTGTGATTTTGTGCTCTGCGAACACCTAAAATTTGATATTTTGCATTTGTCATTGTCGTTTGTCAAATCTCGAAATCTCCTTTTCTTATACCTTAAGGGCGTATGACACTATGCATTTTCTTGTATCATTTCTTATATCGTTTGTGATATAGAAAGTTATTTATGTTTTCTTGTATCGTTTCTTTTACGAAGTTCTTTTACCAGAAATTGTATGTGATTTGGCACATGATTGGTCGAAATTTTGACACCTATAAAAATAGAACTGTAGAACCTGAGGACTCCAAGCTAAAGGGGACTGAGGACATATGCTACTGATTATTTTTTTAAAATACTGTGGTGCAAAAATTAAAGAACTATAGGCTTGTATGACACTATCCATTTTTTTGTTATATCAGAAACGATATAAGAAATGATGCAAGAAAATGGATAGTGTCATAAGGCCTTTAGAATTTGATCTAATTAGTTTGTTAAATCTTTTTATTCATTTTTTTTGCATTTATTGTTTAATATTATTAGTCGTTTATGTGATTTTATTAGTTTGATTATAGTTTTCTTAGTATATATTATTTTTTAGTTATACCTATATAGTTGTTTGTTTTGTGGTTATAAAATAGATTTATACACACCTCCTCCTATAACACCTCTGCGCATGTCGCTGATTTTTAGTCCGCACAATCGTTGCGGATTTTAACAACTGTTGGAAACTGAATTCTGATTAATCACTTTGTTACTGTGAACAGCAAACTTAAAATTCCCAACCGTCAGAAGTGCTTCTACAAACGCTAACTGTTAACTGCGCGTGCATCTGATGGTTGGCAATGGTTGCTGATCGTTCTACGAACAAACCTATAGAAAATCCACATGACTGGGCTCAACTGATTAGGCAAGCATATAAAAATATTAAATTTAGTTACAGAATTGCAGAGCTGTACACATTTTTTTGTGGCTTATTTACTTCCATATTAGTTAACTGCAACAGTGATACTCAGAATAACAAAGTGAAACAATCAAATGGGTGTTTCTATTCCAGAACAACTTGTCCTACTGCACAAATACCAGAAAGGATCAGTGCTACTAAACTTAAAAGTGAGTACCTATTTACCTCTAGTGAGTTTTACCTCTAGTCATTATCAAATATTTGATTGAAAAGTGGAAGTTGTCAAGAAATTTAGTAACATATATGGCTAAAACTCCCTTTTGATTAAAAAAAAAGAGACAGCTATATCGAAATTACTTTTGATACATATTGCCAAACTAAGAATATTATTATATCCTTCTAAAAATTATGTTTTGATTAAAAAAAAAATAGTGGCAAAATATCTTGTTTTAAAGGTACCTTGTACCTGTATCTTTGGAACAGTTTGTCTAAAGGTAAGTAACTATTTTTTATATTTTACCAAAAACACACTTGGAAAATTGCATCGTCTTTGGTAGCCTTTAAAACAGTTTATCCCATTAAGCAATTTAAGCTAGGAATACTCCACAATTTTGCAAAAAGGTAGCTCTTTCATGATCCAATCAGCATGTCTTACAAATAATGTGGTAATAGGCAGATTCTGGTGTACATATTTATTAAAAAGTAATACTGAAATGTTATACCAACAATTAAACAATGCATAAAATTATAAACAAAGATAGAAACCAGTGAACTACAAAATTCTAACAAGTAAAATTAGAAAACAGTTATAACTGGCAAAAAGATAATGTAATGCTCCACTATAGAAATGAGTTAAAAAAGAAGAAACAAAAATGTAGTAGACATGATACAAGAGAGGGATAGAAAGAGAAAGACATTTATTTATATTGACTGACTTTATTAAAATGACTGAAAATTATTAAAATTTTAATTGAACTATTAGAATTTGAATTAAACTTAATCTCTACAACTGTTTATTTGATTTTGAAGACAAAGGATCAATATAAATATTGCACATACCTTGTGAAGTTATTTTTAAATAAAAAGTTTGATTACTAACTTAGTTTCAGGTTGGTTCCCTTTTAATAAAATGTTTCTTATACTACAAGTGTTTTTCTACCTTACTCTACTCTAGTTCTAGGCAATTTAATTTTCAACTTTGTAGAAGTAAATGGGAGCTGGGACAGTTTTGTAAAATAAAATGGCTCATAGTATAGAAACTTAGTGAGTAGAGTATAGAAATTTAGTGAATATATATAATTCATGAACATTTTACTTACACAAGCTTCCAAATAATCAATTTTTCTCTCAAGTATGGTTAGTTTCTCGTTCAAACCAGCAAGTTTTGAGCGACAGGACAAATCTGAAAAAATTGACAATAGAAAACAGACTCTGCGATTTACAAATCGAAACTTACCAAACGAGTTTAAAAAGTCTGTAATTTTCTTGATACTAATAGTAATAATTTCTATGTATTCTCTATTTACCCAATCTTGCTGAATTTGTTTTTGGACTGCCTCTCCCCTATTTGCAGATGCCATTTTTAGAATTGAGTAATTGACAGATAGAAAATATTTTTATTTTTAGACATTTGACAGTTCGGGAAGATTAATCGATTATGGATCGGAATGATCTCGATTTTATGGTCATTATTTTTCCGAAACTGTTACGGATGAATATTTCATTTAGCAAATATTTCTATAGGCAGCTTTACATCTAGGCTATGCAAGTCTCATGCTATGCTATGCAAGACCGTCTTGCATGGCACATCTCTTGCCTAGCTTGACAGAGATATTTCTGTGCAATTTTAGATCCCACTTTCATTGTTGCCAACAGAGAAAATATTTATCAATTTGAGGTTATTTTATTCTAAATAAATATAATTAAGTACTAAAATAAATAATATAATAAATAAATATACACTATTTATGGTTATTAAAAGGGCGAAAGATGTCAACCAAAGAAAAGAAAACATTGTTATTGTTATAGTCAACGACTCACCCAGTCGTTTTTATATTAACTTTAGACATAGTTTATCTATTTATCACCACTTAATAAACTTAATTTAAATCAAAACACAACAATACACACGTGGACTAAGGGACGCTAAAGATAGAGATAAGGTTATGTTTTATTCTGTAATCTATTATAAATTGTTATGTTGGCAACATGAATTTTAACGATAAATTGCAAGAAAATAGGATGAAAAATAGAACATGTTCTAATTTTTCGTCTAGCACAGGAATTGCATGGAAATAGCCCGTGGGCATGCGCAGTTCCATGATCTGTCTTGCATGGCTCTTGCCTAGCATGAAAATAGCATAATGTAAAACTGTCTTATTAAATTTTTACCATATTTTTACCTATGTTAAAATAATTGTATAGTATGTATATGATTGCCGTAAGTCAATTAAACCGGGTTAATTTTTCTATGCACACCACATAAATTTTGATTAAACAACACTGGTTCCTTTTAAAACATGGCGGAACGTCTGCGCTGACGAGATGCGCGTACTTAATTTTCCATAGTGAGTGGACATTCTGATTGTTTATTATTCTGTGTCTGGAGATCTGTGTTAAACAGTGGATGTTCGATAGTTTATTCATAACAAAAGCACAGTATAAAAATACGAAAGGTCCAACCTTAAGGCACGTTTTCACGGGTCGATCTGGGTTGAACGATTTGGATCGTTTGACCATAATTCGATCTGTGCCGAAAGCAAAAAGGTTTACATGACAGTCGATGAATGTTGAATTAATTGTAGTACAAAATGGCGTCATGTGAAATTCTTAAGACAGTTTTACATTATGCTATTTTCATGCTAGGCAAGAGCCATGCAAGACAGATCATGGAACTGCGCATGCCCATGGGCTATTTCCATGCAATTCCTGTGCTAGACGAAAAATTAGAACATGTTCTATTTTTCATGCTATTTTCTTGCAATTTATTGTTAAAATTCATGTTGCCAACATAACAATTTATAATAGATTACAGAATAAAACATAACCTTATCTATATCCAGGAGCTTAAGGAAAGTGGACTCGTTCAGTCGAAGAAAGTTTTTTAAACTTTGAAGGTCTCTAGCATCCAAGAACTCTTGGGGCAACTTTAAATTTCCAGTCCTGCATTCAACCAAGGTTTGACCCAGCATTTTCTAGGTTTTCTTTTTTATTATTTTTCATGATTGTTGCTATAAATACAACAGCAATATTCAACAATAACAATGTTTTCTTTTCTTTGGTTGACATCCTTCACCCTTTTAATAACCATAAACAGTGTATATTTATTTATTATATTATTTATTTTAGTACTTAATTATATTTATTTAAAATAAAATAACCTCAAATTGATAAATATTTTCTCTGATGGCAACAATGAAAGTGGGATCTAAAATTGCACAGAAATATCTCTGATGTAAAAAGGTCAAGCTAGGCAAGAGATGTGCCATGCAAGACGGACTTACATAGCATGAGACTTGCATAGCCTAGATGTAAAGCTGCCTTTAATGTAGGTGTGCAATTAATTTGTTTTACAATTCGAGAAGAAATCGCTAAATCAAACAAAAAGAAAAATAAACCAAGGTGGTGGACCAAACCATGCAGCACTAACAGAAAATCGACTTAATTTGCCTGAAAATAAGGTTTTTGTAGCTGATAATGCGTTTTCACAAAAATATTTTGAAACTGTATTCAAGAATTGGAGTTCTCTCACACAAACAAAAGATTTTTAATTACCGTTTATCCCGTGCCCGAAGAATTGTCGAAAATAGTTTTGGTATACTGGCATCACGATTTAGAATATTTGAAAGACAAATTGTTACCAATTTGTCTACAGGAAATTTAATCGCTCGAGCTGAATGTGTCTTGCATAATTGGCTTCGTACAACTGCTACAAATTTTATTACTACAGGAACAGTGGATGTTGAAAATGTAGATACTGATACGATTACTTTAGGATTGTGGAGAAGCGACATATGAGCTAGAAATTTAGGTGCAAATACAACACATATGGGAAGTAACAACCATTCGAAGAGAGCCGCAGAAATCCAGGACACTTTTGCTGACTACTTTGTGGGCCATGGTTCAGTGCCGTGGCAAAATGAAATGATTTAGTAAGGACTAGTACAACAAAATGTATGTTGTTTCAAAATAAAAAAAAAAATTATCTACCTACCATTGGCTTTTTCTGCCTCCCATCGTTTCTGTTCTAAGAAAACTATCAGCGTGTTTAAACCAAATTAGAACCAGTACATATAAGTCGTGAGGTCCAGAAGCCAGAACCACGTTTTAGTGATTTCAATTCTTTGTTCAAGTCACGATTGTATGTTCTAATATTTTTGATTTTATTTTTCAAGTCATTTTCAGATATTTTGAGTTTATTCATATGTTGTAAAATTACTTGAAATGCTGCTCGCCTCGCTTGTAGATAGCGATAAAGCTCGGTACATCATAGTTTTGATAAGCATCCAAAAATCTTGCCATGTCTGCATCTGACCATTTTTCAGTCATTTTTTCCCAAAATTACAGCTTGTCGCACTAAAAACAACAACTTCATACACGCTAGAAGTACTCTATTCAGCTTTCGGCAAATTGTGTTTCTGTTCGACGAGGTGTTTACACATTCGATTTTAGTCGTTCGACATCGATTTGGCGACAATCGCCTATCAAAAGTAGACAGTCTTTCTACTTCCGTCGAATCGACTTTATTTCCGCCGAACTACCAAGTCGATTTATTTTATGGTTTAATATTTAATTTGCTTTCGATTTAATAATCGATCCAAATCGTTCAACCGATTCGTTCGTTCAATCGATTCAATCGTTACAGCTTTATCTGCTTGTAGCACTCTCTTCTCTGATCTTGATATTATGAAACCTGATTAGCCATCCTTTGCTAGCTGAAAGTTTTTTACTAGCTAGGGAAGTGGAAGTTGGTGGCTTCTACTGTTTCATTAACTCATAAAATTAAAGAGGTTTTTCCTGGATTCAGTAACCACCTACAGGAATTCTTCTTTGAATTAGTTCCTCAATTCAAATCGCTATAGCTCATTCTGTTTTTTCTAATATTACATCCCTTAAGTAAGATGAAAATGTCGCACCTAACTTTGTACCAGAAATTATAGATTTTCTTATAGCAACTTCATTCTTTTTAATTGCTCTTATAGTTGATTCGCCTAAATTAAAATGTTTTCCAATTGCCGTAGATCCTTCTCCTTTTCCTAAGCGATCTAAAATTACAATTTTCGTTTCCAACGAAATTGATTGTCTTTAATGTTTTTTTCTTCGCTATTGGGCCAAATAAAACCTTAAAAAAAGAAATAAAAAATTAAATTTATGATATTGTTACGAACATGCTTTCGGCATGGCCCATGTAATGGTTGCATCTCGAAACGGCTTCGAGCACCATCCACTTCACAGATCTCTCGAACGCAAGAAAATCCATGCGTCAAACAACGAATTAGAGGTGGGACTACTTTAGATAATTCTAGAATAATACTTTTGGTATATATATGTAACGATGTTATGAGTTAGGGAGTTGTTAAGATAGTACCGAACTGTAAACTTATAAATAAATATATTTATATAAATTCGAACCGCTCGTTTTATTTAATTTCGCTACAATATTGAGATGACAAAAACTCTTCTAAAGAAAAATGAAACTTTAGGACACTCACTTGAAATCTTTCAATCCGAAAACCGTGCTGCTTATTATCGCTAAAAAAAATTATTTTAAAACAATAACGGAAAATTTGAGAATGTCTCGCAAATGATCGACGAGAGTTCTTGGAAAAATGATGAGTATGTTTCCAAAAGATTCGGAACATTTCAAATTATTAAAACAATTTCAAAACATCAACAAAAACATTTCAAATTATTAAAGAAGCAACTAGACAAAATGACGAGAAATTTGAAAATGTTGCTAGAAGATTCGACGAGACTTCTCAAATAATTAAAGAAGTATGTAATCAAAACAATGAGAAATTTGAAGAAGTCTCAAGAACATTCGATAAGATACAGAAAAATGTAAACGACAAGATAGAAGACGTAGAAGAGAAGATCAAACAATTAGAGATCATGATAACTAACACAAAAGTGCTACCACTAGTTAATACAGTAGCCTTAGATCCGGTAGTGAAAGAAGAATCACCTAGAGACGAAACGACACATCATATGCGATTCAAATTGCCATCATTTGATGGAAAGTCTTCTTGGCTCATATACCTTAGAAAATTTGAAGCTTTTGCGATAGCCAATCATTGGACAGAATAAGAAAAACTGTTTCCTTGACTGCTGCTTTACGAGGTAATGCTGCGGATATCCTAAGATCGATTCCTAAGGGCCAAGAAAAATGTTACCAGACCTTGTTCACTCGACTAAATAAACGTTACGGAGATGCCCATCTACAACAAGTCTACAAAGTACAAATAAGAAGTCGAACTCAACGAGAAAGTGAGAGTTTGCAAGAATTTAAAGCAGATGTTGCTCGTATAGCGCTGTTGGCTTATCCAGAGGTACCAGACAACATTTGGGAAGAAATTGCTGTAGATACCTTCGTCAATGAGTTTAGGGACAGTGAAATACAGAAAGCTTTACGACTAGCAAGACCACAAGTTTTAGATGAAGCGCTCGCCATTGCGCATACAACAGTCAGAAAGCTAGAACAGATCGAACACTGGGCTGGAAAAAGTCATTCAAATGCTGATGCTCAGTCAAGAGTGTCATACAGTGCAAATCGTAATCGTTGTCTTGAATTAAAAGAACGACTTTGCCCCGTGAGACGAACCACCGTCATTAATGATCAATGGCAGCCACAACAGCTACAAGACGCTCAAGCAGATGATTCATGTATAAAAAGAGTATTGGATTGGATGCGTCGAAGTGAAAGGCCTTCTTAGCAAGACATTAGTGCATAACCGATAGTACCGAACTGTAAACTTATAAATTAATATATTTATATAAATTCGAACCGCTCGTTTTATTTAATCTCGCTACAATATTGAGATGACAAAACCTCTTCTAATGAAAAATGAAACTTTACGACACTCACTTGAAATCTTTCAATCCGAAAACCGTGCTGTTTATTATCGCTAAAAAAAATTATTTTAAAACAATACCAGGTTATACTTTTCAACGCGAAACTCGCAATGATGTAATTGGGACACCCTGTAACAAGGGAATCCTCGAATTGCAAACGCTCACTTTACTGACATCTGGATGTGAATAGTTAATATTTATTATAATAGTTAATAATAATTTTTGAATGACATACAAACCGCACAACTTTAAAATCGCACAAAAATATTCCACATAAAAAGAGACGTTACTGTATATTATAAAAATAGTCTATGTTTTCTGAACTGTACTGTACAATCATATTTAGATACTATACTCATTTTATCGTTATTAAAATAAACAGACTGAATACCTACACATATTATTTTAATAAATAAATAAATACATAAATAAATAAATAGATAAATAAATAATAAGCTAATAATTGTAAGAAAATAAATAATAAATTACTTAATAAATAATGTATATTTATGTTTCGTCTTGAGAATCGTTTCCATCGTCGTCTCCATCACATGCTGTGTAAAGTCGGCTGCAATCTTCTATTGCAGATATAGTTTCGTTTGATCGGTATGACTTATAAGCATCATCACTAAAAATATATTACATATTTATTGAAATTAATATTTAAAGGACTCCTGATATTTAGTTGATCACCTTAGAAATTTGGAAATAGGGGAAGGTGTTCTAAAATGACATAGCATGTAAAGTGAGAGGCAGTTACTTATTTCAAAAGTACTGGCATAGTTTATTTTGTGAACATTTACGGTTTTATATGGCAAAGAGCAACCAAATAACATGTTGATGTGGGCACTACATTTGGTTTGTAACTACGTTACAGCAAAGTTAACATCAAAAAATTATTTTTACTGGTGTTAAAGTTTTAAAGTATTACGCTGCAACTTAGTTTTTAAAATTTGTAGCAGAACACAGTAAAAACGTTAACACAAGTAAAAATAATTTTTTAAAAAGGAAAATACTATTTATTTTAAGTAAAACCAACGCTAGGAAATAAGTGTAAGTATACTTATACTACAGATACTCGGAATTGTCGTTGAATGCCAGATAAAATATTTCGGTAAGAATAAAGAACCACGCGTCGTTGCTGATAAAACGATATAGCTATTCATGAAGGTAAAATGACATACTTTATTACCATTCACATATCATTTTACAAACAAACCTAAAATTCATTTCTATTTAAAAACTATCATTTCTGTTTTTTTAGTTATTACAATATGGTGGGTATAGCGAGAAAACATCAACCAGGCAATTGCGAGATGAAGCAGTGATGCAGAATTCTATTTAGGCTATAAAAAGTGGTCGAATGGGATGATTAAAAGTACGCAAACTTTTCAATGTCCCCCACAATACGTTAAGACGGAGAGCAAATATTGTAAACAAAAGAGCCAAAGGTTGCCCAAAAATTTCGAGACGTTTTTCAACCCTGTTTCGTGACGATGAAGAAAAGAATTTGTTAAGCACATACTGTTATTAGAGTCTAGATTGTTTGGGATAACTACTACAGACATAAAAAACTTGCATTTGAACTTGCCGCTAAAAATGGCATTTCAAATGGATTTAAAGATCGCAGCGCTGGACGAGAGTGGCTGAGATGATTTCGTATGCGACATCCAGAAATCTCCTTGAGACAATGTAAAGCTCTGTCTGCAGCTAGAGCTATGGTATTTAATAAGCCTCAAATACAAAATTTTTTTAATGCGTTGGAAATGACCCTGGAAAAAGAGAAAACTGAAGTTTGTCGCATTTATAATATGGACGAAAGCGGTTTGTCCACAGTACAGAGGCCTTCAAAAATGTTTGCAAGTTTTCATAAAAGCAAGTTGGATCGTTGACCAACGCCGAAAGATGTCAGCATGTAACATGTGTCTGTTGCATGAATAATATAGGTAATTTAGACACGAAAAAGTAAAATAAGTAAGGGGTCAGTGTATCCAACGTAAAAAAGGTCGTACACAAACACAAAAAAAACTGTTCAAAAACACAGTTAATTGGATATGACAAAGGTATATTACAGAGACATATTTATGACTTTCATAGAGAACTAAAATTAATATTTACAAAACACTGTTGAGGCCAGTCCTCAAATATATGGAACAGAAACATGGATTCTAACACAGAAGGATGAAAGAATTTTGGGAATAGCGTAAAATTTCAAGCAAAATATTTGGAGCTCTAAACAACCAAGGGTTCGCACAAAAGATAAATCTTCGAATTATAGCAACTCTTTAATGACCAGACGTCGTAACGTCCATTAAAACACGGCTACTTAGATGAGCTGGACACATAACAAATGCCAGACAAACGATTGCTAAAAACCTAACCATAGGAACACCTGTAGAAAGAAATATAAGCCGACTTCGAAATTAGATGGTTAGATGGAATTGAGACCGACTGAGAGATATTAAAAATCAGAAGATGTCAACAGATCGCTAGAAATCGAACAGAATGCTTGTCCAGCCAAAGATGATGATGATGTAAATTATAAAATTAAAAAAAATAATATAAAGTTTATTACTTACACAAACATGTTGAATATATTTCCCAACAGCATACTTTGTTTTGTGTTGAAGTCAGCTTGACAAACGAATTTCCTTTTGCAAGCATCTGTCTTCAAGTCCATTTCTTTAAATACTACTTCGGTTAAATTTGATCTAAAATACATTAGGATGTAAATACTTTATTACTATTATATTTTGTATTTTTTTAGAGTACAACTAAATTTTTTAATATACTCATCTATCAAAAATCTATTTTTAGACATGACCATTTTCTTTATAAGTATATATATATATATATATATATATATATATATATATATAAATATATATATATATATATATATATATATATATATATAAATATATATATATATATAAATATATATATATATATATATATATATATATATATATATATATATATATATATATATATATATATAAATGCGGACAATTCCGACCTTCTATCTCTTAGGTCTTCTTCGAACAACATCTTGTTGAATTTCACTAAACGCCCTAGGCAACCCTTATCAGAGTTAGATAAGATTTACAGGGAGACGGTATCGTTTTTAAAAACCCACCCTAATCTTCTCGTTCTTACGAGTGACAAAGGTAATGCTACTGTCCTTATGGACAAAGATCAATATTTCAGTTTGAGTAAATCACTGTTAGATGATGATAGATACTATCAACCACTTTCTTCTAATCCTTGTTCTAAATTCACAAATAAAATAAATAAATTTATAACACATTTAAAAAACATTAAGATCATAGATCAACCTTTAGCTAAGTCTTTACATAATTATGATGGATATGCTCCAAGATTCTACTGTTTACCAAAAATACATAAACCTACGTTGAGCATGAGACCTATTGTGTCATCTATTAACTCACCTAATATTAAAATAGCTAAATTTCTAACAGACATCTTGTCTAAATCATATAATTACAACAATGATTTCAACATTGTTGATTCTTTCAACTTTAGTGAATTTATTAACAATTTTCAACTACCTCAAGGGTACATTTTAGTAAGTTTTGATGTGGTATCTCTTTTCACTAACTTACCTTTGTCCAGTGTAATTACTTCCTTAAAAAACCATTGGAATTCTATCAAACCTAACTGCCCGGTGTCTTGGGATATATTTGCAGAACTGTTACAACTTGTGTTTGACACTAATTTTTTAGTCTTTGATGACAAATTTTACCTTCAAACATTTGGTACACCTATGGGTTCCTCAATCTCTCCCATCCTAGTTAACTTTGTATTGGATGATTTGGTTTCTGACCGTTTGGGTCTTTTGGATTTTCAAATCCCTTTTATTAAAAGGTATGTGGATGATTTATTATTAGCCCTACCACCTGACAAGGTTCAGGGTACCCTATCCCACTTTAATGAGTTTGATCCTCATTTACAGTTCACTGTTGAACTTGAGGACACTACCACCAATAGTATACCCTTCCTTGACATGCGTGTCATCAGAATGGGAGACAACACCCTAACCACAAGTTGGTATAGAAAATCAATGGCCTCTAATAGGTTCCTTAACTACCATTCCTGTCATCCTATGAAATACAAACTAAACCTTATAAAAGCTTTAAGCTTTAGATTAAATAAATTGACACATCCAATTAATCGAAGGGAATCCTTTAAGTTATTGAGAAATATTCTAATAGAGAATTCATATCCTTCCTCTATCATCAATAAATACCTTTATTCGCATAGTTATGGATCCTCAATTTATGACATACCCGATGGTGACCAACTTAGAAACATCTCTAATAATTCTATAAATAGCACTGTTCTGCATAATACCGATCTTGAGAATACTATCACGCATTACTCGTTCCTTACCATATTTCCCTCAAGTTACTGAGAAGCTTATTAAATTGTATAAACAAAATAATATACCTGTTAAAATTGCTGTTAAGAATGCAAAAACTGTTAGAAATTTGTTCTCTAAAACTAAAACACCCTTGTCCACTTTGGAACAAGTGAACACAATTTATAAAATTCCATGCGCTAATTGCGATCTATGTTACATTGGGCAATCTGGTAGATCATTGAAAGGTCGTCTCACTTCACATCGTAGCGACATTAACTTATCGAAACACACTTGTGCTCTAGCACAACATGCGATAAATACAAAACATGAAGTGGATTTTAATGAAGTTAAGATTCTTGCCACTGAACGCAATCTAGCTAAAAGACAGTTTTTGGAAATGTGTTCAATATTAAAACATCCTAATGCATTGAATAAGAGAACTGACATAAGTAACTTGAGCCAGATATATCATGCTTTAATTTTGCAGAATTAGGCTACTTAATCTTTTCACTACATTAATGTCATATTAGGTGTACTAGTTGAACTTTTTTCCACTTTTCATAAAACAATTTACATACATAAATAGAAATAAAATAAATAAATATATCAATTAAATAACTTAATTTCTTTACTTAATTTTACTATTACATATGCAACCCATATTGCATTTCATTACACTTATTTCTTTGATTAGTGTTTCAAATTATATATAAAATAATACAAACATTGTAATTGATTCATAGAATCCTTTACAAATCACAGCTCCAAGTATATTGAACCTTGGGCTGTTTGGAAATTATAATATCGTTAACCACCTGGCTATTTAACTTGCCACATGATTAACGTCATTACATTATTATGAGTTTGAATGAAAATCTCCGGTTTGTAAATTTGGGCTGGTTAGTGAGGGGAGTTGTGTTTACACTACCAACTTTTTTCACTGTTGTGTCCTTTACAACCTGGTAGTCATCCAGACTCAGTTAAAATTAAATTAACCGCCCAAAATATTGGGTTGGTATTTACACCTTGTTGATCTGTCAAAAGTAATTTTGACCTCAAGGTTGGCTGTCTTTTTGCGGTTTAGTTCGTTCCTGTTTCATCTAACGCCATTTTCACGGCGACATCCATAGGGCTTTGATCGGTAACTTCATATTCACTATTTTTTAGAATTTTATTAATATTACTTATAATGCTACCTAAAGTAAAAATCAAAGTTTAATATCCATTAAACAGTTGGAGGTTATTTATGATTTTCTTGGTTCTTTCTCACTTATTAACATTAAATAACATTGAATTTATTTTGGACCACATGGTCAATTGCTGTGCTAATTTTTGTACAAGTTCATATATGTTGTTAGTTGCTTAACTGTTTATACAAGATCAGCGTACTATGTCCATTTACTTAGTTTCATTCACATATTTGTTAATAACATTGACTGCTACATATCTTTTTAAGGTAACAATTAACATCGTTTCCATGATTGTGTGGTTCTCATATTGTAATAATTTTTTAGATGAACTGATGATGCTTTCAAAACTCGAAAGCGAAACGTCTTCAAAATAGATAAAGTAGCCTATCAACTTTGTCTTTTATTTCTCCACCTAGAGACCGATATAAGAACCCACCACTCGTCTGAGTGATCCTTATATATATATATATATATATATATATATATATATATATATATATATATATATATATATATATATATATATATATGAGATATGAGATGGATATGAGAACCCCTCATATCCGACCTCGGAATATCCGACTCCTCGGGATATCCGACCATGTGCCCGACCGTCTTTTGCCGGTTTGCCGGCGGACAAGTCTCAACGTGAAACATGACTCATCATCAGCGCTGTGCTTGTTTCTCTGTTAAACGGACAGTTGCGTTCTGATTGTCGACGTAAACGTTGCTCTACATACTTGACTGTTTTGTTTTCGTGATTGTTGTATGTACAATCTTTGGTTTGTGATTGTGTAAAAAACTGTGTTGTGCGATTAGTGAACGTTATCTATGGCTACTCAAAAACGTAAGCGTGTGTGCGTTACCCTTAAACAAAAACTTGAAGTGCTCCAACGATTGGACCGTGGTGAGTCACTAGTAAAATTAGCCGCAGAGCTAGGGGTCGGCGTGACAACAGTTAAAGACTGAAGAAAGAACCGTAAAGACATCGAAACCTATTCTATGACCGTTGAAACGGAAGATGCTCTTAAAAATCGGAAAATGTTAAAAAAACCTAAGTTAGAACTCGTTGACGAAGCTCTTTGGGTTTGGTTTTGCCAAGAACGGCGAAAAGGGACTCCTTTGTCGGGGCCTCTTGTGACAGAAGAAGCCATAAAGCTGTTTGAAAAATTGGGAGGAGATGTTAAGACTTTCCAGGCAAGCGAAGGTTGGTTTCACCGCTGGAAGCTTCGCCACGGCATTAGACATGTTGTTATTGCGGGTGAAAAGTTGTCTGCTGATGACGATGCTGCAAAAGATTTTGTAGAAAAGTTTCAAAAGTTGGTGTCGGATAGTAATCTTGTAGCCGAACAAGTATATAACGTAGACGAGACCGGACTGAACTATAAAATGTTGCCAAAATCTACTCTTGCTTCTAAAAATAAGCCTGTTTTGGGTACAAAGCTAGCTAAGGATAGACTAACAATTGCTACGTGTAGCAACGCCAGTGGCAGTCACAAACTGCCGTTGTTTGTAATCGGCAAATCTAAGAAGCCGAGAGATTTTAAGAATCTCAATATGGCAACACTTCCCGTGTATTACCGTAATCAATCATCTGCCTGGATGGATTGTGCTCTTTTTAAAGAATGGTTTTTTCTTGAATTCGTGCCCGCTGTTAAAAAACACTTAAAATCAAAAAACCTGCCACTTCGAGCTGTGTTGTTGCTGGATACTGCACCAAGCCATCCCCCAGAGCATGACTTGAAGAAAGGCAACATAAAAGCGATGTTTTTACCTCCACATGTCACCCCATTAATCCAGCCAATGGACCAAGGCGTAATCGAGTGAGTAAAAGACGGTACCGGAAAAAATATGTCAGGTCTCTTTTGGACAAAACAGAAGGAGGCTGCTCACTATTGGAGGCCATGAAGATGTTAAACATAAAAGACGCCATCTATACCGCCGCTTCTGCATGGGATGAAATCAAAGAGACAACTCTTCAAAAATCGTGGAAGAAAATTTGGCCATCATTAAAACAAAGCGATAGTGCTGATAAGGACGATGATGAGCCCACATCATCAATGGAAGTTGACCTTGAAGCTGAAGAAGACGACGTCACAGAAACTCTTCAAGACCTGCAGGAACTGCAACACGGTGT